CTACAATATCCTGCCCGAGATTCGAACTAGGGAGCTTCAGATTATGCGTCGGACACGCTATTCAGTTATACCACTTAAGGCACGTGGCAAGGAGGGAGGGAAAACCTTGCAACATTACCTAACCATTCTAGGAAATAAAGCGCCGCACCTACTATTTGTTGTTTGATCTTTAATGAGTAGGGTATTGTTTATTATTTAATATTATAAAAAATTACTCACATTTAGGGATATATGAAAACATGGAAGTCCCATACATATTTATGCTAATTCTGTGATGTTTATATGTTTGTCAAAGTCTTGAGAAAAGTAAATCTGGAAACCAAAGCGCAAGGTGCTATATTATAGATGTTCAAGCAATATGCTATTAAAAGCGACAGGAATGAAGAATAAAGAGTCTTAATGTCTCACAATGTGAGTAGTTTGAATTACACTCTAAACATTTGAAGTGTGTAATGAACCAATATCATTTAATAATTATAAAATTCCATCAAAATCTGGAATATTCGAAGTACTTGGCTAATAAACAAGCTTTTCATATGGTTTTAAGTGTATAGAAACTATCACTGGATGCTTGCAGACTTCTTTCAAAGGAACTTAAGACCTTGTGTAAAACCAGGCTGTGGTTGTTCAAGTATTTTCACATGATAAGTTATCATAATGTTCTTGAAGACACTGAGACATACTTTACTACTTGGCCTTTCATAACATCAGTAGAACATCAGTAGCAGCTCCTACTGGCGTTTATGTGAGCAACAGTTTTTGCAATTGTCATTGGATTGACTCTACATTCTATTTACAGTGGCCTGACATCCAGATAAAACGTGTGTATAGAGATAGCAAAATAGGTGTCGGCAACAAATGTTTTCTCAAGTATATTAAATTTCATTTTGTATAGAAACATGAAAAAACAATTACGAAGCTGTATGTGAGCAGGAACACGCAGTAGACGGTATTTTAAAAGTATTATAGTTACTATTTGCTGTTACTGCTGTGCAGTGTTGCTCCTTTGTCGAAAGAAAATAAATGTGGAACTGATTCATCATGATCGAGAGGATTGGCCAGCCTGTGGCCTTCATTTTCTGGAAGATGAATCTAGATGTCACTGTATTTGTATCATAAACATTAAATCATGCAACAAATGAGGACATCTCTTCGTTATCTTTTCTGTCTAAGTTGTGAAATATTATGCTGATGACAGACGCTATTGAATTTCTTATTCCCTTTACATTTTTCTGCATTCTTTCTTATGTTAAGACTAAGCTCAATTATATTATTACCGTCAAACATTCATTTATATTGCTTTGTTGATAATTATAAATCTGGAATGCTGTATCATTATTTTCATTTTCTAATTCACAACCAAATTCTATGCATTTTAAAGTGCACACATGGAGTTGTTTCATATCTATAGATTCAGAACTTTGCTTATTTCATATGCTATCACTAGAATTTTATTATATTTACAACTAAGTAAACTTTACCATCAATTTTTTAATCATGTTATGTATTTAAAAAAACTTGAATAAAGTTTTACTCCTCATTACATTTCAAACTTTTAGCTCCTAACCATAATGGAAAGATTAAGCAGTAACCATTCCATTACTGATGCATTCAGTATCTAAAATTATACAATAATTGACATTTAACTAGTTTTTGGTTGTGTGACGTCATGTTAGTTATATGAGCTGAGAAAAGACAGCTCTAATAAGAGGATTTTCGCACAGTAAACTATTTCCTGAGAATGTTCGACAGTACCCTGCTATCAGTATTACAAAATAGCTGTAAATGCGTTCTGGAGAAAGTTCAATAACATCGTAGTTTCTGTAGTAAGACTATATTGGTGTGCTATTTGGACTCATTCTTCCATTACGATGCCGAAATTTCGGTCTTGTAATGATTTGAGTAACATCTCTAATGACTCAATATCACACCTGTCGTTGGTTTTCATCCTCATGCATTTTATCTACGTCATGTAATTTAGTGTAATTTGTTTGTGATAATAATGAGCATGCGAAAGTTCTGTGTGTTATCATCTCATTCCAAAGTGATTATGAAATCTAGAAAATTATTCCAATTCTTCATTGCAGGGCACATTCGAAAATTACAGTTTCAGAACTTTACCGAATGTGATGTTTACAAGTTACTTCTCTACTAGTCTCATATTTTATTGTATTGAAGGTCATTACCTGCTCAACTGTCTTCCTTTTTTCCTCGTATGTAATGGCGTCTTTGATCGGTACTTCTCAGTTCTAGACGGTGATGCTGGCGCATTCTCAAGGTCTTTCTTCTGGCAGCTATCCGGCATTGTATTAAATCGCAACCTGCTTAGCACGCGAATTTAATGCCGCTTCTTTTATTTTCAGCACTTTGTTTGATACATGACCTAAACATATTCTTAATTTTCTAAATATCGTTCACACAATGCTATAAAATGAGACTTTAATTAGACTTAATAGTAGCAAAAATTTAAAGCAAATGTGTTCTACTCTATTATGTTTTGACTTGATTTATAATTTTTTTATAAAATATCTCATTACCAACGATTGCAACATTAAACAGATTAAAAACCGGTATGCCAGTATAATAATTTAAATGAGTACTGAACTATAAGTGAATATCCTTAATGCTAATAATTCAATTTCTTGGTCATTCAATATTTAATAAAATGACTAAATAATTTAGTAGAGTGACTAAAAAATGAACTAAATACTGATCACTAAGTACTGTGCTAGTTGATATATCCTCTCCTGAAAGTCTTCATCTGACTTGCACCAGTAGTCTAGCACCACTCACAGAAATATACCTCTAAAAAACATCACACTTCCACCCTCCGAGCTGCATCGGTCTTTGGATGCAGTCCGAATTATACGTTTTCTGGACCTCCTGAGATGCATGTAGCAACATGCATCATTGGAATCCAAGCAGAAGAGGACTTTGTTTGATTATGCGGCATATCTCCAGTTATCAACAATACAGTGTTGATATGTTTACGACCGCTGAAGTCTCTTTTGCTTTTAGGCTGGTCGGATCCGAGGACATTATCGGGATATACGGCCGAGTAATCCAACGCAGTTCAGCCCTCAGCACAGGATGCGATGCGATCGGAAATAGACGGACCTAGTCCCGTATTCACCTGTGACAGTACACTAGTAACGAGATCTAGGCAAAGTAGCTCATACATAGCTATTTTCATAATATCTCGCACTAGAGACACTTCCGGGTAGCCAAAGCCCCCAAGGACCACCCTTAACTATAGTTACCTGTTGCGATCGCACAGCCCGAGTGAGACTTAACAAACCCTTACTGTCCCTGCCAAGCCTGAACGGATCACTGTATAGACGATTATTCTAGCCACTGTGAAGGCAGCTAATCTCCTCCATACTGTCCACTCCCAACGTATGGAAGTTACGAGTTGCCAGCTCGGGAGGGGGATTCACCTGGGGCAATAATAGTTTTGCCCATTAGCGGTAGCCATGCTCCTTATATGCCGATGGTCCCTCGGAAATAATATCGTCTCTGGGGTAGCTTTTTATCTTCTGGAATTGTTTAATTCGAGGTAAATACCACTGCTTTTTTACAGTAATTATATTAAGGACTGTCACATCGAAAAAAGTCGAAATTTTTGCAAATTTGAAATTATGTTCCCGCCGAACACTATGGCTTATGTTTGCTTTTTTTGCCAGTCGGTGTTGCCACTCTTGCAGCTCATCTCTCAGCGTTACGAACAAATATTGCTTGTAACGTTGAGAAATAGGATACCATCTGTAACATTAACCTTCTTCCTGTTCACATGGAATAGGTGCGTGGCAAAAGAAGCTCCCTCTTAAAGTGTAGGCTCGCAGTGAAGACTGATTTCAAAATGTTTTTACTGTGTTTATTTGCGCTTATTAAAATAACAGCATTAAGTAAATTAGAAATTACAGCTTCAAAAATATCAAAAATTGATATTATTTTTTTCATAATGCTTTATCTTATTTGCAGTTAGCCTTTAGCACAGTTTTTAAAATGCTTTCGTTTACATCTTATACAGTTCTTTAAATGTCATGTATACAACTGCTCCAATTTAACAACGGTATGATAGTATGTTTTAAGGTGCTGCTTATGGCACAAGACTACACATAATGTATACTGATAAGAGAAATAAAATACTGTGATCCAAATAAAAAATACTATATTTTGGTGGCAATTTGTATATTTTGTTCTGTCGATGGTTTGTCTATTTTCATGCAGCCGTAGACACATTTCATAAGTCGAGAACAAAAAATTGTCATCGCAGTTTTTATGATATAAAATATTACTAATTGAATTTAGAGATAACAAATTTATTAATTCATATTGCGTAGAGGGTTCTGTACGACTTTAACTGAATCGTGGTAGTTAAAACAAAAACAGTTTGTTGAATTTCTAAAAATAGAAAGTGTCTTGAAAAAAAAAAAAAAAAAAAAAATGTGAACTTAATCAATACGAAAGATTGCCCTGATAGCAACATAAGTATGATCTTCTACATAGTATATTGTTCAAAAATGCATTGAAATGTGACACTATTAATTTATAATCTGAACAAATGTTTCATTATTAGTCATTACTCTTTTGGTTTGACCCATGAAACTTATATAATTTTAGAAAGTGCGTGAGTTTAAAGACATCTAGGCTGTCACCTCTGTCAGAAAATAAATTTTATAGAATTAACATAAACAGAAAGAGAGTATTTATTTAACTTTGAATTGTATTTCTATTAAAGAGCTTGTTTTTTGTTTACTTTTCAAACAATTAGGTACATCGTCAATAAATGACAGTCCCATCTTCTGAAATCTAATTCTTTTGAATTATAGTATGTTTAATGGCTCCGTAGGAAAATTTTAAAATCACAAATATCTGTTTTTATCAAGTATATAAATGTAAATTTGTTTCTACATTGTTCAGTACTCAGTATACAAAAGAGAATTAAAATTGCTATGCTTTTGCTTAGCTCCACTCACTAATGCTTTAATGCTTTTTAGAAATTGATGCAATGGATAAGCCTCGTTTTGCCAAGACTCTCAGAGGATTGACATGCGTGCGTAAGTATGCTCATTATCTGCGCAGTTTTTTTTTTTTTTTTTCTTTTTCTTTCGCTTTTATATGCATATAGAAAAAGCCATACACTTTTTCACACGTAAAAATAACAATTATTCAGTCTTACTTTTTTACTAAATTCTAGTTTAAAATATTAATGAATTAGTAAATTAAATTTTTCTCAATGATAAAAAAATTGAATGAAAAATTTTTTAAAAAGTTCTAATTTGATTATCTCATATAGTTTTTAAACTCTAAATTTAATTTAGAGTTTAAAACTAATTTACATTTGTCTTATAAGTAATTAAAATTTAATTTTATCGTATAATGTGCTAAAATACCGCTGTAATTCTAATTTTCAGATTTTTATTAAAGCATTTCTAGCTCGGCTCACAATTAGAAAACACACGCACAAACACAAATAAATAAAATTAATTCATTTAATTTGAAAAATACTATCAGTTCTTCAAATAATGTAAGTAGAAATATTTCGTTTCTTCTGTTAAATTAAAAGCATCCGGAATACCAGGTATTCTTTTATAATTTCAAGTTAAATTGGGCATTATAACATCGGAATGTTTAATACTGGTTTAAGGTTTAAAATTAGATTTTTGTTTGTTTGTTTGTTTGGTAAAATAAACTTTTTGTCAACTTTGTATTTTATTGCCCTAAACTTGAAAGTATTTTATCTCTGTCATCACCTATATTTCATCTGATATGCTGATTATCGACATGAGCATTGACGACAAATATTTTGACTTGAAACTGAGTGTATGGAAAATTTACTAAACAATATTTAAATTAGTAACGTGATACATAAAACTTGTAGCATAAGAAGTAGATAAATTATGAAAATCGTTTGAATGGAATAATTTCACAATAATTCAGAAATACAAGGAAATTCAGAAATTTGATAATATTTCATTTTAGTTAAAATAGTATTTTACATTCTGTTGCATTAGAAAAGCATTGTGTTTATTGCTAATCAGATATTTAAATGCCGTTTTATTTTAAGATTTTTATTGCTTTATCTGAAAATACATTCTGCAACATAAAAAGCGCCACACCAAGAAGGAGTTATCCGAATTGGACGAAAATTGATAGATGTCATGTACATGTATTGAAAACGACTCGCTAATAGTATCATAGAAATTTAATATTTCAGTTAGGAAATACAACTGCAAGAGGAAAAAAATCAGTAATGCGTTGGCCCATCTCTGGCCCTGATGCAAGTTATTATCCGACTGGCTATATACACTCTTTTGCAAAAAACAAAAAGCACCAAGAAGGACTTTTGCGATCGTGTCGAAATTTAGTATGCAAAAACATCTTGATCGAACATGGAAATGTTCAAACTTTCAAGGCAAATGAAAAGGAATTTCGATTATAGCGCTCATTTCTAGTGCGCAATTCGCAAAGTATAAAAAACCAGTAACAGTGGGAAATTTAACCTTTTTTTTTTTTTTTTTTTTTTTTTTTTTTGCTGCCATTGTAATTCCGTAACAAAGCAACTAAAGATGCCATTGCGATGATATAGAAGACCTTACAGACAACTAAACGACAGTTGAACGTGGTCGCACTGTAGGGTAGCGTGAAGCTGGTCTGTCATACCGAGCAATAGGCTGATCTACAGCGCACAGACACTGCTGCGCAATTATGTTGGCAGCAATGGTTGCTACAAGGAAATTGCCGACGAAATGAAGGCACTGGAAGGCCAAGGAGCATAAATGCGAGGCAAGATAGGATGATCGTTCGCTAGGCCCGAACCTCCCCAACGGTATCATTGTCGACTATTCAACGCACTACAGCCACGTGCATACCTCCCGTGGTACTGGCCACCATCTCACGACGCTTGTCTGAGGCGGGGTTACGCTCAAAGAGGCCTTTAAGACGTTTGCCTTTGACCCCACAACATCGGCGGAGTCGTCTAGAGTGGTGTTGCAGCCAATCCTCGTGGCTGCCATCAGACTGGCATCGTATAGTGTTCAGCGATGAATCCTGCATCACTCTTGAAGCAGATGACCCCCGTGTTCGTGTCTGGAGAGGACGGGGCCAGCGGTCCCAATCAGCCTTTGTTTTACAAAAGCATACAGCAATACCCCTGGTGTGATGGTGTGGGGCGCTGTTTCTTATGACAGCAGGTCATCTTTAGACATCCTCAGTACATCTTTAACAGCTCAACGGTATGTTGATACCATTCTGCGGCCGGTTGCATTACCCTTCATGGCACTTTATCCTGTGGCCATTTTCCAACAAGATAATACCAGGCCATATACCGCTCGCATATCTCTGGACTGTCTTCGTGCGGTTGATATACTCTTCCTTGGCCAGCAACGTCACCAGGCCTTTCACCAAAAGAGCAAATCTGGGGCATGGTAGGCAGCCAGATTCGGGCACCACAAAATATCGCAGATCTGGAGCGACAACTGATGAATGCCTGACAGAATGTGTCGCAGGATTACATTAGGAACCTCTACCACTCCTTGTCTCGATGAATTCAAGCATACATTGCCGCCAGGGACGGTTCAACCACCTACTAATTTGAACACTCAATGTGATTGTGAGTCGTGAACAGGTACTATGACCTTGATTTTTTAATCATTTTATTATCTTTGTATGAGCTATACACATATTCAATTTCATCAAAAACAACCACTTCCTTCATGGTGCTTCGATTTTTTTCAAAAGAGTATACGTGCAGGGTTGGCGGATGTCCTACTTGCCATACACGTTCCAGTTGGTGAGTTAGATCGTCATGATCCAGGGGGTGTCGCAGACGCCTGCTCATTAGAACCCAAACGTGCTTTGTTAAGCAGAGATGCGAGGATCGTGCAGGTCAGAGAAATGTAAAAGATGCACGAAGGCAAGCAGCAGATAGTCGTGCGTATGCGGCCGGGCATTATCTTGCTAAAATGTAAGCCCAGTGGTCCGTGAAAGGGAGGTCAGCACTACGGGGCGTAGAATTTCGTCGACATACCGCTATGCTACGAGGATGTCAGGAACGACAACCAAAGGAATTCAGCTAGCAAATGAAATGTACCATACACCATGACTCCTGATTGTCGGATTGTGTGGCGAATGACAGTCAGGTGAGTATTTCCCCTCTGTCCTGGATGTTTCGAAATAAGTCTTAAATATAAATTAAAATAAAAACTATTCTGCTCCATTCCGTGAGAGCCGCCCTGTGCCACTGCAAATGGTGCCTGGCCGTGTGCAGTGTTGAAAGGCAGTCGGTGCCATGATTTTCTTAACCAGAGCCCGCGTTCGCTGAGTTGCCTGTCAGTGGTTATTACAGCCACTGGTGTCCGTGCTGTCGTTCAGATGATGTTGCTGCCCTTGCCGACAAATATCAGACCAAAACTCCAATGCACAAATGACCCCAAGCTCTGTGCACAACTGGAGTACACGGCAATGAAAAAGCAGACGAAATCGTCAAAATGGCTGCCACGGACAAATGTAGGTTGATACTGTACATACCATGGCCGAAGTGTAAAAGACCACTAAGGCCTTTTTGATGGAGCATTAGTAAAGTTTCTGGGATAACGCGACACTGGCAGGAGAATATGTAATTACTTTCCCAAAACCAGAGATACATTGCGCAGTAGTACTTTCGAGCTCACATAATTCCCAACAGAACGTGGCCCATACATATGTGGAGGGGACGGAAACCCTGACCATTATATTCTTGACTGTCCAGAAACAATTACTTATCATCTCCGCATTCCATCAGCTGAAAACAAATATGCATAGGCAGATAACATTTGTTCCAATACATATGCACTCAGACGTATTCAAAAATGCACTGAGAGTTCTTGGAATCTCCAGTCGACTAAATACCTAGGTGACATCCTACTAAAGTCAGTAAAAAGAAATTCCATAAACTTGAAAAATACATAATATGCATATTTTTTAAGATAGTGGTATATCAGCGAAATTAAAACCACTGGTAGACCTTAAGCAGGCTGATAAGCACCATCTCTAAGTAGAGCAGCTGCTTTTTCGTTGGAGTAAAGGTCACTGGTGTCCCAAGTAGACGTCGAATCGTTGAAGGAATCATCAGGAGCTGTCAGCGCCGATCATACGATCACTTTGTCTTCGCTTTATGTCGACCGCTACTATCTTGATGCTCTATATGGCCATTTTCACTCATTACCCCCAAATCATTGAATGGTAGCATCGCTCCATCCTGCGATTCTAGCGATTCTGCGATTTGACCATCCCGCATCCTCTAGTCCAGGGTCTCTTAAACTGCATATACTTTACGACCCCCTTGGGGGTCGCAGGACTTGCAGCAGGGGGTCGCCAGAAAGTTTAGCAGTTTTGATATTTCTTTAACTTATTATAATAATTTTACAATTACCAAATATTTTTACATAATATATCTGAAAATAGATAAAGATAAGACAATACAGACAAAGAAAAAAACAAAAACGTTTCGACGCCTTCTTTTTATAATATAAACGTTCATTTTCCTTGCTTTGCACGTGACGCTGTCATTTCGTCTGTTACTTATTTAAAATTTTCACATTATTCTACGTCTTAAAATTAGAACTCAAAGTTAATGGCCTAAAACTGCAATAGTAGATTACAAGTAAAAAAATTGATAGTTTCACTCAGGCGTGTGTCGGATTTGTGCAATACTTATGGGGTCCAACAAAATTTTTGTAAATATTATGGAGTCCTGGGGTCGCGAAGAATTCTCAGTGATAAAAAGGGGTCGCGACTGAAAAAAGTTTAAGAAACCCTGCTTTAGTCCAATTGCACGTCCTCTCTCAAATGGTTATCTCTTCTCGTAATGTTTGCGAACCCGTCTGCACGGCACTGTTACAGTGCACTTGGTTTGACGGAGCCACATTCGCATGTAAGTTGTGTCATAACATTGGAATGTCTTCTGTTCTATACACGATCTGGATTCTCTCCGGGGTCGACTAGAGTACAGGCAGAGATCAGTAATTTGAAATTATGGGAGTACTTGTTCCGCATTAAACGAAATGCGGAGCAAGTACTTCCATAATTAGTAACTAGTTACACCCTCCATTGCAATGCATGAAGTTACTTGCTCCACTGCAATGTGCTGGAGATCCAGCTAATTAGTCTTTGGCTGTCATTTGTATATTCTATCGTAAAGTATATGCAGTTTCGTCCCATTCGATTAAGTGATTTCTTTTTGGTGCTTCGCATTTTACATTACAAAGTGTATACGCTAAACATCTGCAATAATTAAATATTTTTAGTACTGTTTCAAGTAGAAGTCTTACTTTTTACTAATTTTATTTTAGTTTACGTTAAATGGCCTAAAAATATTTAGCTTACAGTCATGAATTTCCTACTTCATAATTTAATATTCAATTTTTATGTTATAAAGGAAAGTAAAAACTGTTAATATTTGCCTACTCATTAAAACTGAGCACCGCTTAATCATTATAGCTATTCAAAAAATTTCAAGAACAAAAACTTTCGCTTAAAGAAATTGAGTTTATTATTATTATTTTTCTTTTAATTTTCCCTTAGTATTAGAATAAAAGTTTCGTTAAAATAACCATTACAGACATATGATATTTTGTTTAAAACTAACCTTCTTTTAAGAATACAACTGAAAAAAAAAATGTAATATGCATTAATTTTCTTTTCAAGTGGGAGAAACAGCCGTTCTGGAATGTGAGACGGATGGACGTCCTGAACCCAGTGTTACTTGGCTAAAAGATAATCAAAAACTTGCCAAATCAAATCGTATCATTGCGTCATCTGTTGGCCAGAAACATTCGCTGACTCTTAAAGATGTGAACTCTGAAGACGGTGGACTCTACACGGTTGTGGCGAGCAATTCCAAAGGAAGCGCTTCTTGTAGCGCACCTCTTAACCTTAAATTACGTAAGCTACTTATTGAATCGAAAGTCTGAAGAAAAAGATGTCTTTCTTGTGTAGTAGAACAAAAGATATTTCTTAAGGTTCCTCAAATAATTTTCGACTTGTGTAAATAAAATTTAACCTTTTTCTAAGTCTCTCCTAATTTTCTAAACATAAATACCTTCAATAAAAATATTCAGGGAGTAGTTTCCTATTTTCTTGATATATTAATTTAGACACTTTTTGAAAACGGCGGTTCACTATGAAAAATCAGGATTTTTTTCCCATAAGTTCATGGCATCTGGGTTTTAGCTAGTTAAAATTAAGAGATAATGTTTTAATATTTTTTCTGAACTACTGTAAAAAGAGATCTGAGAGGTTGTTTGACATTTAGAAGATGTAACCTTTTAAGAATGGTGCAGCTAATAAGCCACATTGTTCTAGAAACTTCGGTGACCAGGTATGGCTTATTAGTACATTATTTTGAAATGAAGGGGATATGCATATAACAAGACCGCACTTTTCCGTGCATAAGCTAAATATTTTTGAAAAGACTTTTTCCCCTACTACTCAAGTTTGCGGTTGAGCTTATAAACGAAATCAGAATTCCTTACAAATAATTCAATCAGAAAAATACTATTGTAGCTTAAAAAGTTTTAAAGTATTTTTTTAATTCTTATTATTTCTCACTAAAAAAATCTTAATATTAATATCCAACTCAGAACTTTGTAGAAGTTTGAAATCTATTTCTGCTGCAGTAAAATCCGGATCAATGTTATCATACTCCATTTTGTCATTAACATCTGCCTCATCATCTTCAAATCCATACTCCATTTTGTCATTAACATCTGCCTCATCATCTTCAAATCCATACTCCATTTTGTCATTAACATCTGCCTCATCATCTTCAAATCCATACTCCATTTTGTCATTAACATCTGCCTCATCATCTTCAAATCCATCTATAACATTGCTCAGTGAACGTGATAATTTTTAGTTTTAAACTGTTGGAAAAGGTAGCTAAGCTATTACCAAAGCGCTAAATGAGACATATGGCAAAACTTTGGGAGAATTCAGAAAGAGAAAGTATTAGCGCTAAATGTTTATATTTATTTTATAAGGCTCTCAGCCCTGTTTTTCGAATGGAAGCTGAAGATTATTTGGTATTTACCCTCAGCCTGGTTGCTAGGTTAACTAAACTAGACAATTAATTTTCGGATATTTGGTAATACAGGGTTATCCAAATTAAACTTCCCCAACTCAGAGGCCTGTGCAGAGAGTTGTATGGGTCATAATGTGATGAAATTTTAAAAACAAACATAGATCATGCGCTCGAGATTTAGTACACAAAAAAAATTAGTAACAAGAAGTTGCCGATAGGTGGCGCTGTAACACTAGTATGGCATATTGCGCACGTGATTTGCAGAAATAAAGCTTCTGCTCAACGTATCCAAAAGACGAGCCCTACAAAAGGAAGACAGGCCTTGAACAGGCAGTTGTTTCCAGTTCGATGATGCACAATGGTGACTTTGAAAACAAACCTCTGTTAGTGAAACTTTTCTACCAGAATGACGAGAACTTCTGTGCTGCGGTAAGAGCATTCCGTCGGCTGAAGATCTCACGCCGATGACCAATGACACAAGCACTCTACGAGACGTGATGAAGACGTTCGAAAGAACGCGACAGTTGGAAATTTTACCAGGTAGAGGACGACAGGTTGTGGAATCTGCACGCATAGAAGACGTTGCTTTGGCGGTCGTGGACCCCACTAGCCAATCGCCACATGGTGTTGTTCAGTGTGCCAACTGTTTCTTCGTGCTGTTGATATGCCCTATAGGACCGTCTGGCGTGTGATGCGTCGAATCCTCGGTATTTTCCTTCAAATCCATAGTCGTCATCACTGTCCGATGGGATCCTGTAGTTCGGGAAACATTTGCGTTGCAGTTCCTTACCAGAATGGAAGTCGATACTGCTTGGCCGTGGAACATCTTTGAACGGATGAGGCCCATTTCACCTGAATGGTCAAATGAATACGCACACTGCCGCATTTGGGCAAGTTAAAACCCGCGCGCAATCCATCAAGTGCCTTTGAAACCTCCAAAGGTTTATTGTATGTGCGGTTCCACTGCAACATTCTAATTGGGCCTTATTTTTTCGAAGAGGTGACTCCACCAGGTTCAAAACCTGCTCTGGTCACAGGAAAACGGCACCAGGACAGTTGACAACGTTTGTGATCCCTGAACTGCACAACGTGGCCCCTCCAGGACACGATATTTATGCAATGGTGCACCTCCCCATATTCTTCGTGGGCTTCTGGTGTTTTACAACAACAACATAAGATTACAACAACGATATTCAACAGGTGTTACGGGCAACGTTTACCGATGCACGTGTGATCAGCCGCTGTTTCCCTACAGCTTTGTCTTCCTGCTCGCCTGATCTCACGCCATGCGACTTTGGTTGGGGAATCTTAAAGGATCGGGTCTACCGAGAACACCCAGCAACCTTGGCACATCCTGAAAGACGCAATATTCGACATGTTCTGGAATTAATGTGGACTTACTGCGTTCCACTGTGGAACACCTGCTTTACGAATGGAAAGATTGTGGAGAACCACGGCACAATATAGAACTCTGTAGAATGTCTGTTGATCTGCAGCGCCACCTATCGGCAACTTCTTGTACTAATTTTTTTGTTTTAATAAATCTCGAGTGCATGATCTGAAGTGTCTGTTTTTAAAATTTCATCACATTATGACCCATACAACTCTCTGCACAGGCCTCTGAGTTGGGGAAGTTTAATTTGGATAACCCTGTATATAATAGCTAGATTAGTAAAGCAATTTTAAATTCGGCTTATACACGGGCTTCCAATTTCGGCTGAAATTTTTTCAGCAAAATCTTATTTCTCGGCTTAGAGAGGGATCTCCTGTTAGTCAGAAGTATCTAGTAATTTAAATCGCTTTGTTGAATTATTTAATTTTCATTTTTGCATATGAAATTGTAATGTGATTGTTGCAGCACAAAACCGAACGAGTCTTACTTGTCATAATTCAACCATTAATTAGTTGAATTGGTTTATTTTACTTCTATTTTATTCAAAAATTTTAATTTTTAAATGTAGTTTTATGTGTTTAATAGGTACCAAACTTTTCACAAAAGGATAATAATTTTTTTAATTCTAATCAAAAATATCTTAAGTTAATATTTTTATAAAAATTTTGACTTGCGGACAAAATTAATGCTGAAAAATTCGTATTTTGTTTTTTTCCATTTTTCGTATATTGCATTGGAAGATTTCTTCAGAATTCCTTTCTTCTTACATCATAAAGTATTCGTTAAAAGCAGTGTGTTAATGCAGATATTAATCAGCTTAATACGTCAGTAACTGTTTCAAAGGCAGATACTAAAAATATACAAATGACTCGTGCCTAGTTTATACTGAAGGTAGTTTCTCACTCTCGATTGCTTTATAGTGAAGCAGATTATAATGCAATTCGAAGTGCTTAGAAATGTTCGTGATTACCTTTTTAATCTGCGGTACAAATCTGATGCTAACACACTGCTTTCACTCATTCGCTCTTACTGTATCTTTACATAAAAGTTTCTTCTTACTGCAAAGAGTGCGTAGAAATACAGAAAATATTTTCGTTTTAGTGTACCTAAATTTCAAAAATCAGAATAGTAAATGAAATCAATTGATTTGAGAATATTTGAAATCCAGAAAACGAAATTTTTTCTCACAGCTTTACTTGGCGTGCCGAAAGAAGACTCCAGACCAACAACACCAGGAGGTACAATTTTGCCTCATGCTCCTGTCTTTAAAGTAAAACTGAATAAAGAAACACAACTCTTAGAAGGGACAAGCGTCCGATTTGAGCTTGTAGTGCGTGGGAATCCGGAGCCGGACGTCAAATTGTAAGTATAAATTTTAATGTAGACTTTTTTTCTTAAGGTACGTTTCTCACAATATGAGATCTTCTCGTTAGCATTAAGAACTGTTGCATCTACGTTAATAACAAAAAGGCTGCTAATTGGATTTAATTATTTGCAATTTTTAATCAAATACAAACATTTTAATTACATATTAATAAACATTTTTATTTTATTTGCGTTAAATTAAAATCATCTACTTGAAGCTTTTGTTTGACTGAAACACGCCAAGTCATCTTATAATACTTATAATACTTATAATACTCAAATAAAGGAGGATTAGAATCGTAAATATGACCTATTATTATCAGACTGGTTCAGATGTAAGACGATCTTACCTGTAAGACAACATTCTACGTTTTGAAAATATTTCACAAGGTTTGCATGACGGAAAAATTAAATTTCTATGATTACCTTTAAAATCATGCAAAAATATGTCTTTTCTTAACACAAAATTTAAGAGCTATATGAAAAATTATCTTAATTTTTTTGAGTGTTAGACTCCGTTTCGGAAGAAATTTCAAAGAAACGTCATCATCTTATATTCGGACTAATAAAATAATGACAGTAAAAGCATTTTTATGAAAAATTTGCATAAAAATAACTTCAGATTTCATCCTTTTATAACTGATGCAGTACACACATTCATTTAAAATTTCAACTATAAAATAAATAGGTTTAAAAATTCGTAGTTTAAGAATTGACGGACGTTTTTTTCCTCTTTCTGTTTCACACAGACTCAAATAAAGGAGGAATACTGCTGCATCTTAATAGGAAAGTTTTTAAGTATAGTATATGATGTTTCTTGTATTTAAAGAACTACATATTCATTGTATCATGTTTCATGTAGCTTCAAAGACGGTAAAGAACTAAAATTGGATGATCGAATTCGTGTTTCATACGAAAGCAAAGAAGTCTTTGAATTAATTTTGGATCATGTTGTCGCTAAAGATGCTGGAACATATTCTTGTGTTGCAACAAATAGTGAAGGCGAAGATAAAACTGTTGGGACTCTCAGTGTCGTCAGTAAGTTCTAGAATTGAGTGAAAAAAATTTGGCCAGTTTTCGAGTTTATAAATTACTATGTATAACTAATTTCTTTTGTTTAGAACACAAAGATGTTTTCAAAGGACTCGAAGATAATCTTGAAGAAGAAAGAGAGCCTACCCCTCGACCAAAAACTCCAAAATTTAAATGGTCAGTAATATTTATGAAATCATGCTGTTAATACAAAGCCGAATAATAACATTTGTTTGTAAAAACCACTAAAATTTTCTGAATATAGAGTTAAAGGATTTAAATTTATGCAAAAGAAGAGTCAGTTTTTTAATAATATAAAAATATTTTCATTTCATAATCACTTTTTATACAAACTTTCTAAGATTAAATAATTTTTTGTTATTATTTATTGCATGCTTCTTGGAAATTCCCTTTCTAATTCTCTACAGGTTTTATGACTTGCATCACAGTATTTCCACTTTTCTGAACCTATGTTTCCTTCAGATAGTGTAAAACAATTTTAATTCATTCTTTTTTTTAAATAATTACCTTAATTGCCTATTTATAGAGACGATTTTTTGAAAAAATTAGAGTATGAGGCATTAAAGGTATCAATTCATATTATATTTTTATACCAAAATCCGCATATTTTTCTGTATTTCTTTCCTATAGTACTAGAAAATTATGTGTATTATCTAATAATTAAAAATGGTGTTAGGAATTTTCTCCTTCCTCACTGTGTGTCTTCGGAATTAATTGAAAGTGAGTCCGGCTGGCAGTTGGAATTCGAATCTCTATGTTAGAGTTCGAAAATCCTAATAAATTCTGCAAGTGATGCCCGAGCTAAAATGTGCCGCATGTAGAAGCTAAAATGTGCCGCATGTAGAGCTAAAATGTGCCGCATGTAGAAGCTTTCGGGATGCCCGGAATTCGAATTCCGCCGACTCCGCATTTCTAATTTTTCATGTTTCCAGATTCGAGAAGTCTATTAGACTTGACAGCTCAAGTAATTAGTATTTATAAGCAAAATGGAAAAGAGTATTATGGAGAAAATCCAGTTTTCAGATGCTTCGTATTTTCTGTATATAGCAATATAGTTTATCTCTCACCAAACAGATTTACATTTTGGCGAAATATACTAAACATTTAATAGCAATTAAGAAAATTATTTAGGTATGCAGATATGTATGCTAAGAGCTATGGGTTAATAAGAATGAGTATCATATTATTAAAAATTCTAAATTATGAATTTCAGAAGTAATTATTAAAGTTTGGATGTTCAAGAAAACAAGGCATTGCCAGAATCGAGCCAAAAGAGTTGCAGTCATAAATTGACGAAACTACATTGGGATTGAACTTGAGCTTGAATGCTTGGATGTTTTGTTAGAAGTTGAACAGAACACCTCATATTAAGGCTTGAGGATTCTTTTAGTCAAAAATGTATTCCTTGACAGTTTAAATCTTTATTTAAGTTTTAATGATATATTTAATTGATATGATTTAAATTACATCTGATTTAAGTTATATGTACCTAAAACATTTTATGAATGTTTGCAACTTTACTGCGATTAATAAGTTTTCCCGCTAAAATCATGTATTTCGTACAGAATTGCTAGGATTTTTTAATTACTATCCCTAACATCTATAATCATAAACCCACATAAACTGATTCGTTGATTTTGGATTTGAGATGATAGAGTAAAGCCTTTCTATTACTCTTTTCGGAGCATTTCTTTCAATATTGCATTATGCTGCTCGATTTTTAGATGAATTAAGCTCTGGCATTTGCTTTCACTTTGTGCTTTATCTTTTAAAACGAAATCACAAGAGGTACAAAATATGATTATTGAATACTTTCTTCAAGCATTTTTTAGTGACAAGAAATCGGCATAACATTTGCAGACTCATTTTATAACTTCTGTTGCAAGTGCCTTTCGAGTAGATGGACGAATGATTATTTTCGCGTGCTCGATTCTCTTGGCCTGCCGTAGTGGACTAATGGGACCAGGCTATTCCTGAAACATTTTTAATAATGAAAAGAATACTACTTTTACCTCGTCTGAGAACGCTCATTTTTCGAATTTTGTCAGATCTTTTAAGCGACTCGAATGAGTTAGGATTGCAACTGTTTTTCGCAAGGTTGGATTCCTTGCTAGTTTCACGTAGTTTTTATAGCCGTGATACATGTAACTAATGGCGGTGAGTTGAAAGAAATTTAAATTTTCTCATGGTTCCTACAAATAGTAGTACTTTAACTCGTAATTCTATATTTAACTTTTAGAACTTTTAGGGACATACAATTAGCGTCCGAGAAAGTATTCTAGTGATACAGGAAATAATTCGAGGTGAAAGGTATTGGCACAATAATTGGACAGAGTACCGATAAGACGGAAGAATTCCGCATAAAATTATTTGCGGAGTGTAGGCAAATAAGCTGTGAATACATTTTAGGTATATTATAGCGATGATCAGCTGTTAGTATAACCGTGTTGTGAACTCGTTCGCCTAGCTACTATATAATATGGGACATTATATGTATTTTCAATAGAAATCTTCTCTTGAAAATGCATATAATTTCCTATATTATATTATATGCATATATTGGAAATGCATATAATTCTTGAAAATGCATATAATTTTCTATAGTGATAATTTAAAGGTAGGTAGTAATCACTGAAGGCAGATCAGAGAAATAATCATTAAAAGTAGATCTGTCCTTAATATTTCCTTTTGTAGAAAAATAAAACATTATGCTTGTCATTCTAAATATCATACAGTTTCAAAATCTTTAACAATATTCCAAATAATTACTGGTCTTGCATTTTTAAGTCAGATTGTTATTTATTTTTATTTGCATATTATAGTAGAAGCGTCTTGATTTTCTCTCCCCTCTTATTTTTACAATTTTGCCACAAGATATTACACTTTATTTTACCGCTGTTATAGAAAACCTGAAGACCATAATTCGATTCTTTAAAACTGCTGGTCTTCCCATTTATCATTATCGCCAACTTTCTATAGTGTCTCCCAAAACGTTTGTCATTATGCTAACAATTTACGGCATATCCGTATTCTTAAGTAAAATATACATTTAAATGCTAAAATATGTAAAACAGAAGCCTTTTTCAAAACAGGTATAAAGCATAAAGCTTTTATTTTTCTAACATCAGTAATATTTTTCTACTATATTATTTACCATACACATCCCACTTCTAAAATCTTTATAGTGCACTTTGTACCATCACTTTGTCTTCACTGCAGACATCTCTTGTCTTCGAATTTTCTAGATCTTGCACAGGAAAAGCGATTTCTTAGTAGAGTAGTAGGAAAGAAAATTTTGCCCGGCTTTCTGTTAGTTAATTTTTAAAAAGACAAAAACTGCTTTCCTGCTTTCCTTTTCTTTCCTGTCTTTCACTTCCTACATCACTCCCATGTATAAATTATGACATTCAGAATCAGATGGTAAGCATGGTGAAGTCTAATCCTACAGCGATTGTTTTATCTCAGTACAGTTTTTTTATTTAGAATTTTATTTAAAATTAATTTTAATTAAATTAAATTTAAAATGAAATTAATTAAAATTAATTTCATTTTAAATACAGTTTTTCGTTTAGGTTTTTTAAGATAAAATTCATTTCAACTTTATATACACTTTCTTGAACGACTGGGTATTAACTGGTAATCGTCGATAGTTCACCAACAACTATTGAAGTCTTAATGAACTATATTTTCGATGTCAACAACTCAATGAAACAGAATTTTTTTTTTCCGGCGGGCATTAATTGGTAATCGTATTAAACGGATTCTAACTCTTCTCAACTTTTCTTTGCGACCACATGCTATATAGGAGCACCAAATGACTTCCTTCGAACCATTTTCTAACCTTTTTTAAAGACTTTATGGAATGTTACTGGCATTATGTGTTTGCCATACATCTTCCGTCATGCACAACTTGATTCAGCATTCGCGAATTTTCGATGAAATATCACATATCTAGGAATAATGGATTATTTCGGTTTCATTTCTAGACAAATCCATTAAATGCTTAATGCAAAATTCGGTAAAAATTAGCACGGGACAGTGAAACTTTGAGTCTAAAACGTTTTGTTGGTTGCGTTCCTGGGTGGGAAAAAAAAAATGCAGGGCAGATAATGTGTCTTCTTCAACGGTTGGATCTGGTTCTGAAATAAAAAAAACAAGAAGTTATCCCGATCAGCCAAAAAAGAATATTATTAGAAAAGTCCGGCACAGCTTCTGGGCTCGCCACAACGCTCGCAAGAAAGTAAAATTTATTGTGTTTAGGTGATAATAACTTATGTCCAAGTACTAGTTGTATAATTAATTGTTTAGATAAAATTTAAACAGATTATTTATATAAAATTGAAAGAGAGTTGCGATATTGGATTTGATATTTAAAAGTGAGATAAACTTTTTTTGGCGCTAGTGGTAAAGCATTCAACTCGCATTAAAACAGACCCAGGATCGAATCCCAAGGTCATTACCATCTTCAAGGGCATGCGAAACTCGTGTGCTGCAGGATACAACTTCTGATAATATGGATACAGCCCCAGACGTGGATAATATGGATACAGCCCACGCTAATGTGGCGCCATCTAGTGAGATCCCCGAAAAGCCGGCTGCGAGTACGTCTCAGACGGAAAGCATGGGGCGGCCTATCGGTGCTGCAGATGAGGTCACGTGCCCGGCTGGGCTAATAGGTGACGCTCATGATCATGAAACTGGTACCAATTCTGCCGAAAATAATGAGAAGGATGTGGATAAATTCATACATCCAAATAAAGTGAGCAATAAATCTCCCCCGATTATTATACAAGATGGTAAATACTCCTGGTCAAAATATAAGGAAATGTTTAAAGATGCAGGAATTAAGCTAAAATCAGGTATAATGAAAGCTCAAGACCACTATGAGCTAAAAGTTGACAGTATAAAAACTCATAAGAGTTTAACTGCATTACTTAATGCCAAAGGAGTGAAATATCACTCATTTATTTTACCCGAAAACAAGAAGGTTAAAGTTGTTATAATACGCAGCTTACCGATCGACACGCCAACCTCAGAGATAGCTGATGAACTGATAGATAGAGGTTTTCCCAGTTGAACGAGTCTCGTAATTAGTAAGACGCAGAAATGGAGAAAAATTTAATCTGCCCCTGTTTCTAGTTATTTTGAAGAGGAAA